ACTAATCACCATACACCTATATCGAAAGATTATTCTACGCCTAAAAAGGCTCCCAAGCAACTAAGCCTTCTTCAAGAGTGTCAAGGATCGTATCGACAATTCTGTGGAATTTTGCAGGTTGTATCTGAAGCAAAATTGTGTTGCGGACAGTAAAAATAATTAGATAATAGTTGGGAGAGTAGCAGTTTTTCATGGATTTTTTAAAATGTCAATGATCGGGATATAATTTAACTTTCTTCAAATAATTTACAAGAGTCCGGCTGACACCTGGACAGTCAAAATAAGTACATTTTCTTTCTTTCACTCTGCCCTTAATTATACTATGCTGTATCCCTCTTTATCAGTCCTAATCAGATTGGCCTCAGCCCTGATCGTACATTAAAATAAAATTATAATTCATAATGCTGAGTCCGCGGTGAGATAGAAAAACCTTTTCTAATTATGAATATTTAGGTTGAAAGAAACCAGGTATTCCATGGAAGTTGAATTTATTAAATTAATGTATTTATTAGATTAATTAATAATTCAACTACAACTGAATGAAGGTTCCTTTCAACCTAAAAATTATAATTTTGAGGCTGATAACTGATCACCAATTATATCGAAGATAATGTTAGCGTTATCGACTTCAGATTTAACTGTTTCACTTTTCCCTTAAGGGTAAATGTGAAGAACTATAGACTTGGATAGACCTTTTCCAGATATTACACCGACACTTTTTTTGGCGATTTTGGCACGTGCCTTTGGAGAAAGCGACAGTATCGTCCACAAATTATGGAATGACCAGGGGATTAGTTTGCGTATAACTGAAGCAAATACGAGATACAGAATTAACTAAAGAAGCTTCCCTGAGAAACCTTGCTTTATCTCATCCGAACAGATCTGATCTCGATCTACCACTTTTTTGTCGGTGTTAAGATTGTAAAAGCAAAACGCAGTTGTCAGTCACTGCCTTTTAGCTTGACCAGAATTTCTGTTAGCACACTTTGCCCAAAGCTTTTCTTCATACGGTGAAGTTGCTATTACAGGAGTAACTGAAACTAGGAAAATTTGTTTGCAGGCAGTAAAGAGTAGTAGAGAAAGAAGCAGTTTTTTTTTATAGATTGTTGAAAATGATGACAATAGGCTGATAGGGTTTAATTTCACGTTCTCAAATAATTACAAGCGAATGTCACCAGGACAGAAAAATACGTTCATTCTCTACATCTAACCAGGTTCTCCAGCAAACTAAACCTTCTTCGAAAGGGTCAAGGATCCTATCGACATCCCCGTGGACTTGTTTTTGAAGGTGTTTTCAAGTAAAATCGTGTTGGGACCGTAAAGGTAATTAGAAATTAGTTTTGAAAGTCGCAGTTTTCGTAGAATTTTGAAAATGATAACAGACTGAGCAGAACATTTTTTTTTAAATGAGATGGACATTTCTTCAAATGACTGCAGGCTCCGACTGTAAATATGACTAATTTTTGGCATAGTAGGAAACCTGTTCTTCAAATACTTACTAATTCTGCGATTTTGGCATGTTCCTTTGGAGAAAAAGATTGTATCGTGCACAAATTATGAATGACCAGGGCTTTTGGAATGAAGAATATCTGAGGCAAATAAGATACACCAGTAGACCAAGGGCACATCCCTGAGGAACCCCTGATGTTAAAATGACTGAACTTTTTTTGTCGGTGTGATAAGACTGTAAAATCCGACATAGAGCAGAATTTCCGTTAGCCACACTTTGTCGAAAGCACATGCTCTGTGGGGTAGCGACTGAGTGTCACCTGCACAGCAAAATAGATTCATATTCTACACTTAAACATGTTCTCAAGCAAACTGAACAACCTTGGACAGTGTCAAGGATCGTATCGACAACCTTTTGGACTTACTTTTGCAGCTGTTTTGAAGCAAAATTGTGCCTGGGCGGTAAAGGTAGTTAAAGAAATTGGGAAAGATTCAGTTCTTCATAGATTGTGTTGCTAATACGAGGTAATCGAGATATAATTTATCTTTCTTCAAATAATTAAGGTGTCTGACATTAGGTTCATTTTTGTCCTTTCGCTCAGCCCTTAATTAAACCATAACCTATAGCACCTTGATCGCATTAGTATTTCGAACCAAAAAATTTGTCAATGTTATTTTGTTTCGCGAATTGTTTATAATTCCAGAAACAAATCCCAAATTGCGAAAATACGTCTTGTTTCTTTAGTTGTTATTAGAATGTCTTGGTCGGAAGATAGAATCTCTTGGGACAAAAAGCCTCAACAAGCGGACCCATGCTCGAAAGCTGTACGTTTGCATAACTTTATAAGTTTTCCCATAAAAAGGAATTAGTTTTTAAGATTATTTTCACAAATTTTCTATTTTTGTTTGTGTTGTTCTATTTTGTTTTGATAGGACGGATTGGATGTAACACTAGTTTAACTGGTAGCGTTATTATTGGACCAAACGACATAATTTAAAAACCGGGTAATGAAAAGGTTAAGAAATATTACTACTATTTAAAAATTATTAGTTGTAAGAGAGTGAAGTGAAGAAAAGAGAGCATTTTGTAAAAGGAATAGCAAGCTGTGGAATGTACCAAATATCAAAAACCTTTCTTTCTTCTTTTGTTACAAAGAAACTAATAACCCACAATAAAAAGGTTCTAATTCTTGGTGTCTTCTTTTGAATTTTTCTTGGAATCGATAAATTTAAGTAATTAAAACAGAAAAAATTCGTTCTTTCTTACGTGAAAGTTAAAATTCTAAAAGTACCCAAACAGTGCGAAGAGAACGGAGATAGAAATGTAAACAGCCCTGGCAGTGCGCGCAGGGCAATCAATACAAATAAATTTTGGTGCTTGTTTATTCATTAACTTCGCTTTAGGTTCGCAGAACAATTTCGCGATTTTGGTCCAACAAAACCGAAACGCGTTTTGAACCAAAATCCCGTGGGCATTGAAGGTAGCATATAAATTATGAGAAAAGTTTTCTTGGTTTGAAATCGTTTTCCGAGAAGAGACCACGGTCAAGGCCGAATTTTCCACGATTTCTCCCGGGTTTTCTTCTCTTCTTGGAGGAACCGGTTTTTCAACGATATTTGTTTATGTGTGAGTCGAGGTGGAATTTTTCTTTTTCTTTTTTTATTTAAAGAAAGGAAACTTTTAAACTTTTGGAGAAAAAAGTTTTTTTTTCTTGAAGGCGGGTGAAACCGGGGATCGGGCCGATCATCATTCGGTTGGTGAATATCAAACGGATTTACCTTCTGACAATTCCAAGTCGAGCTCTGCCAGCTTCTCCCTCACGTCTTCGGGCAGCTTCGACACGTCAATGTTGAACTCGGACATGGCAGGATTAACGTTTTTAAAAAAAAAACCACTCGGATTATCACAGAAACTTCACATCACTAGCTAAGGACAACACACACTTGTTTAGCCATTTTATAAATATTGTACTCTGCTATCTGGCAAAGGAGCGAATGACTAAACCGTCCCAGGTCGCAGCACGGTGGCCCGACCAGGGTTGCCAGCCGGCCGCCGTCAAACGACATCGAAAAATTTCCCCTTTTACAGTTTCCTCTTTCCTAATCATTCCAACCCCCGAAAAATTTATATTAAAAATTATATCCAGATTAAAATGAAAATTATCATTTTAAAAAATAAAAGTAAAACCAAAAATGAAAATAAATTATATCCTTAATTTAAAAAAAGTAATTATTAAGTTTTAATTTATTAATTACATCTTTTCTCATGGACAATTGCATGCTCCAGGATGGGGGATTTGTTCTTCATATACATGCCAAATAAAATCGCCAAAATCTATATCTATCTACATGAGCATTGCAATGAATTTAACGCTGAATACAACTGTAATTACAATTTAATACAATGATTATTCGGAGATCGTGAGATGGGGGTCTGGTGTGACGTAGGTTTTAGAAAAACATTTTCTTTATCGTACCAACGTTTCGATCTTTATTGAGATCATCTTCAGGCTATGCTATAGCTTACGTCACACCAGACCGCATTCCACGATCTCCGAATAATTATTAACTAACGGTCATTAAACACCGCAATACAATGTAATCCAAAACAAAAATAATATTTAATAGTAAATAAATAATAGTAAATATTTAATATGACCAAATGCAATTAATATCATTCAATTCTGTTCATTTATTTATATACAGTCGACTATTGATAATTAATCATAAATCGAAACCAAAGGGACCACAAAAATAATTCGAATTATAAAGAGAACGAAAAATTGTTAAGAGTTGATATGCATTTTTTCAAGTAATTACTTAAATTGTACATTTATAAAATATATTAAAAATTGAAAAAGCGGAAATAGATCAACTATAAAATTGAACATTGTTACGCTTTGTTACAAGAAAATCGTGAAATGGTTTTGTTTCAGTGTGTAAGAGAATTCAAGAAAGAGTACAATTTTTTTTTCAAATTATGAGATATAATATTATTCATTAGACCTCACTCAATTAATAATACGCCATGCGATACATGAACACTTACTTATGGACCAAATCCCGCATAAAGGTACGCAGAAAAAGGTTGCTCGATGTATCCCACATAATTGAAGGTAGCGATTCCTTGGTTCCGTATAGAGAGCGCGTAGGAACGCCACCAGATATGAAAATTGTGCTTGAGCACGACGGTATCTGGATCCCTCGTTCCGATTCTTTAAGGAAACAGGTTTTTTTTATTGTATTAATGATAGTTTTGTGTCCAAGCTGGGTTGAGTGTGAATGTATTTATTGGTGTGAATATGTAATGTGAGAGGGTTGTTGGTGGAATATTGAATACCCCATTGTCAAATTATACTGACTGCTTTCCATTATGAGAATGGGCGCCCCGTCCGGATTTTCTACCAAATTTTACTGTACGCTAAAACACATCATAACTAAACAAATTTTTAGTTTTTTTGTACAATCGATTAACGTTTTTATGTATAAATGTAAAAATCAATGTTTTTTTTTATTGGGAAACTTATTTTGTTCGGTTGGTGTTTCGATCTCAATGGCAGTGGCGTCTCGCTATTCGAAAGGTTATTGAGTTTTAAATACGTTTTTATCACTTCGCCTAAACAAAGGCCGATGGATGTTAAGATGCGTGGTCGCGTCTTGGGATGGAGCTTCCTGTGTTAGACAGCAGGAAAGTCTTGCTGGACAATCTTTTGGCTAAAGTCACGCCTCTCTGCTCGACGAAGCTGCTCGCCAAGGAGATCCTCCTGGAAATCGCCAACAACCTCCAAAACAAGGACATCATCCGGCTTCTCCAGGACGACCAGGCTCTGTACGACACTGTCAACAAGTCCAACGCGTGAGTCTTATTTCTCCTGATTTGTCTCTGAAATAAAGATATTTTGATGATGATTTTTGTACTATATAATCAATAATCATGAAAAAGTACTTTAGTTTACAAATAAAACTATTCTTAAAGCCAAACTCCATTACAAATTAATCATCTTATACAACATAACTGATAACACCGGTTTCACCAGTGGCCTATCATAAATGTCATCAATAACCAACATATCGCTTTTATGATTGTGGTAGCCCACTTCAATGACACAAAGATATAAAAGTTGTATTGTGTTAAGTACACAAAATACAAGTTTTGCCATTAATTCCTCAAGAATAGTATAAATTATTTCATTTTTATCCGGCTATTAACACATGAAAAAAAAACTCCTCAAAGTCATAAAAGGCATTAACAGTGAGGAATTTTGTTACTTTAAGTTTAAATTTTTTCCTGTGTGGAAATGTGTGGTGATTAGTGACCGCATCTCACGATTTTTGAATAATCTTTAAATTTTTTTTCAGTTAACAGTTTGTCATCATCTGGTAGATTATTAAAAAAATTTATAGCCCAATATTTACAGGAGTTTTCACAATTTTTAAGGTTCAGCCGTTCTGGAACTTTTTTACTACAGTTTCTCATATAGTGTTTATGTACAGAATTGAATTTTTTTTTTTTTAAGTCTCACTTTGTTTATAACAATACATTACACATTATAAGATATGCTTAATTTAGTAAATGTTTCTCTGCAACATTCCCTATATACTTCAAATTCCCTAAAATTCTTATAGCTTTATGTTGTTTTTTGAAGATTAGTTTGGCATAACTAGAGTGATGCCAGACCAATAAGGCATAGACAATACACGATTGGAAACAAGAGAAATAAACATTAATGAAAACTCTTTGAGATACATTACATTTGAGACTTCTTAGTAAAAATAATTTTTTGCTAAGTTTAGATGCTACAAATTGACAATGTGCATCCCAAGAGAGATGTGGATTTATAACGACACGGTCGGAAGTTTTCAATATTATTTGGGCCAATTTTCTCTGCATATTTAATTAACCCTTAGGCTGTGAGATTGACTCATTGGAGCTGTGCAATTATCAACCTGTAACCACTAAACAAATATGGATTAATTTTAGTCAGTATTGCTATGTTTATGTTCTCACTATCTTCAGCAGAACATCTATGGTACTGGTACATGGAATAAGGTATTTTCATGACATTTGTCTATGAAATGTATATGTCTAACTAACATAAAAACTTTTTTTTTTTTTTGTAATTTTTCATTACTAAATTTTGACATTTCTGCTCGAGGTCCATTGATGGATTCCGATCATTTTAATTTGCCTTTTTATGCTGTTATGGTGTGCCAGTCATTTTTTGGCTTCTCGCCATCTTTATACTAGTATTAGGAGGATGGTATTTGTAATACTATATATGTCTGTATTCTTTAATGTATGTACAAACTTTACAAGTCAGAAATATGTGTTACAATACAAGAAAAGGTGTGTCAGTAGCCGCAAAGGTTTAGACGTTGACACTGCGCTCATCACTGTAAGGCCCTGGGTTCGAAGAAAAAAAAGCATTTCTTATGGTTTAAAACGGCCTGAGGAAGTCTACCTTAAAAACTTAAATCTCTCTGTTGTGCAATAAGTATTTATACAAAATTAATATTTACCTTCTTCAAAATTTACATGACAAACTTCAGTAATGTAATAATAAAACAGAATTGAAGGATAATAGCACTAATATAACTTGCAAATACATACATCACTTATTTATGATTACCTATAATGCACATAATTCAATAAAATAAACCAAAATAAAGTAAATGGAAATACTAAAAGTAAAAGTAAATATGACATTTGTAATAACTAACATAAAACAATGTTTTGTTGTACTTTTCTACTTCAATTAAGATTTTCATATGAGGTTTGTTAGTGACGGTTTTAGTTTGCCTTTTTTCACTGAGTTGTCTGCCAGAAATGTTTTGGTTTCTCGCCATCATCATTGGTAGGTCTTTTGTACTACTACTTGACATTTCTAGTTATTGACATAAAAAAATTTTATGTTGTAATCTTTCCTTCCTCAATTATGAAATTTTCACGTGAGGCCTGTTAGTGATAGTCTCTGATCATTTTAGTTTGCCTTTTCTTGCTGATTTGGTCTGCCAGGTTAGTGGGTCTGTTGTATTTCTTTTTGACTTTTGTAATAATTAGCTTAGCCTATAGTTTGGTCATTTTGGATCTTTTAATCTGTATCCTCACTATTTTTGTTTTTATTGTATTCTTTTATCGCCCTCCCTCATAATATCTGTTCCCTCAAGGCATCAATAAATTTCTCTTACCTGTTATCAGATTTCAGACTTACAATATTGAATGTGAACTTTTTTTAAACACCAGGTCTGGTGTTTTATAGTTCAAACTGTTCTCAGTGTTAAAATCACCCAAAGTGCTATTTGGGAATGATCACATTCTAAGTAGTTTAGTTTAACTTGTATTCCTCTTAAAATTATTTTTCTCTTCACATACAAACTAGATATTACTATTAAAACATATCCGCATTTAAATTCTTATAGAATTTGTATTCTTGTCTATTGTAAGATCATTTGGGGAACCCTGTTCCTTTTTTATAGCATATATATCCCAAAGTAAACGAACTCCCATGAAAAGTCATAAACTATAATACATTTTTCACATTTAGAGGGTTTTGAAGATCACTGGTGTGTATCAATGTCCTTTAGCTTTAGGCTTACTTATGTCTTTAATTTTTATTTTTATTTCATTTTTAGTTATGCAAATGAAAAGGAGGAACTAGGAGAACAATTATTTGACAAAGTGTCATTGGTTGAACCGGACCTTTGTTCCAAAATAACAGGAATGCTTCTTGAGCTAGATACAATTACGATAAAACAACTATTAGTTAATCATGAACTCTTTTTGAAAGCAGTGGACAAATCAAAAAAAGAATATGCCGATTATATGCACGTAAGGAAATAGTTTTTGTTTGAGATGGACTTATTTGTTTGTACAACAATTTGTTCAATTTTAGCAACAAGAAATGAAAGAGGAACTGGGTGAGACACTCTATCAAGTAGTTTGTGAACAGTACACCAAAGAAATTGCCAGCCATTTAACAGGAATGTTATTAGAGCTGGAACTTGATATAATAGAAAATTTGTTAAAGAACAGAACAGAATTGAATAAAAAATTGGATTTAGCATATAAAGCATACAAAAGTTATCATTTGACAAATTAACAGGAGTCAACTGTATTGTAAGAAGTTTTGAAAATTCTTAGTGATGTCAAATCAACAAGAGCTTTCAGGTTACATAAAAAATGTTCATATCAACCTAAGACTGATAGCTAGAAAAATAGGAGCAGAAGCGGCCTGGGAGCAGCATTGCAAAAATGAAGATACTTTGGAGGTAAATGTTTTATTTTAATACATTATCAATATTAAACTTAAAAATAATTTATTTTTAGAAATATGCTTTAGCAATGAAAGATCTTGCTACAAAACATTGGGAGAAAAATAACGGCCAAGATCCAAAATTGAATGGGGTTTATTGGATTAGAGAACAGTGTAAGTTATACTTTTTTGAAAAAGGCCAAGACATAGTTCGTGAAAAAGAAATAAAAATGGAACTGAAATTCTTCAACAGGAAATCAGAGTGTGAAACTAAAAATAAGGTTAATGTTATAAAACTTCTTGACGTTGGAAGTTGTTACAATCCTTTTAAAAAGTTTCCATTTTTTGATGTCACTGCTTTAGATTTAGCCCCAGCGTGTGAAGACGTTTTGAAATGTGATTTTTTAAAACTTGATATAGATCAGTGTACATTTCTTTCAGAAAGTTATTTTCATGTTGTAGTTTTTTCACTATTACTCGAGTATCTTCCGGATGCAAAGCAAAGGTACTTATGCTGTGAAAAGGCTTATAAATTATTGACACCCGGTGGTCTTCTCATAATCATCACACCTGATTCAAAACACGAAACAGCAAATTCTAAAATAATGAAAAGCTGGAGAAAATCTCTCGCACATTTAGGCTTTCTTCGTATTACTTATGAAAAGTTGAAACATTTGCATTGCATGATTTTTGTGAAATGCATTAATCCTCTAGTTCCTCGACATTGGTGCGACCTCCAAGGGGTTATTGAGTCTCCTCAAGAGCTATTGAGGATACCACAAGACGAGACGACTTACGAAGAACTGGAAGAAAAACATGAATTCAAATATGAACGAAGTGAATCCGACAATAACAAATTGGCTGAAACATTTTCCTTTTTAGCTGGGGATTATTGACTTAAATTTTGAATATTTTGTCCTCTTTTAGTTTGGTAGTGATAAAGGAAAGTGGTCTACTTTTTAACTTTGTTCCAGGTTAAATGTTTCATTCTGTATTCCGAGCAATGTAAAATTCTACTTGAGAGATGGTTTGATTTTTTCTCCCTCTTAAATGTGGCTTAAGTGCCAAATTAATAATAAAACCCCCAGGAGATTTAAAAAATGGACTTTATTACATTTAAAGAAAATTAGAACTTGATACATTAAAACCACAGTTTAAATACTCTCAATTTGAAGGACGATGAATTAAACCTAAGCTGGTATGCCCATTATGTATTTGGATCGATTTCCAAATTCAGACAAGGCAAAACAATATTTTTGAACTAAACCAAAATTTGTAATAAAATTTACCTGTAACAATCAGGCTGTAATTATACAATTTGTATTGTGTTATACTATTTCTAGGTAGTTAAATGTTGAATAAATCATTATTTGCATAAATATGCAATTGGAAAATTATGGACTTTATAAATACTGTAGATCACTGTTGCAATTTAATTGAACATTTTAAATCAATTAAAATGTTATTTAATAAAATAAAATTAATAATGAATATAAACTGTGATTGACCATCAAAGGTGTAAATGTGTTTACGTATTTTTATTCTTGTTAAATGAATTTAATTATAGCAATAAAGCAATAAACTAACCTAAATGTTTTATTCTGTAGTTTTTCAAAACAGTTTTAATTTCCTTGTCTCTTTTAAATTAATATTTCACTATTTTATTTAAGGTTTAGCAGCTCCCCATTATTCTATGAAGCATTCAGCAATCTGATATAACATTCTGAACCAACTTTAGGACTCGATAAAGGAAGGAGAATGGTAAGTGTAATTAGGAGACATCTATGGTATAAAGGATTGGTCCAAGCCCACTGCCATGTGGTACTCCCACCGCCAGAGTTCAGAAGTTGGAATAATCTGATTCTTGTCAGACCCGAAAGAACCACTCTTACAGATAACAGCGGAGGATTAAGAAGGAAATGGTTTAATTTGCGTGGGAAACCCTTGTACCACAAGTAGCTGAATCAGTGCCACATCAAGAAACGTTCCCATTCAATATTCTATATGCTCGAGGAAATAGGATATGCAGTTTACAATGCAAAGATTTGGTGGAATGTGGAATAATGAGTAAAATAAAAATGAAAATAAAAGGATTTATAAACCGTTTATATGATTGGGCAGAAAATAAGTAAACAAAAAGTTCGACTTCGCGGAAAAACGGAACTACTGGTTTGAAAAAGTAATCAGTGAGTTACACTAATCTATTTGGTAGAATTAAGACTTGGCTTATATATCCCGCCCTCCAAAATTTTTATACACATTTTCTTAAATGATATAAAGGTAAAGACAAGAACGTGAATACGACACAAATTGAACGACTTCTCATAAGGAGTTAGGTAAGGGAAGGAAATTGTACAGGACGGGTACTCCAACAGAGATGATAGAGATCGAGGCACGATCTCTTGGTGCTGCATATCCAATTCCTACCGCTTGTCGCAGTACGTGAAATTGATTTACCAGTTATAAAACCCCCTGTACAAAAAAAAAGATACTAAAATATAACATCACATTTCATTCCTAAGTCGTAACCAATTTTGAATACACATTTACTCTTCAACGTGATGTAAACACTGTACACACAATCCACAGTACATAGGAAAAACCCTTGATATTCCACTTATTTTCTACCCAGCTATCAAAACTTTCAAGCCATCTGCAGTAAAGAAATATATATTTACAAATCCCCAAGCAGAAAAATCTCATCTACCATCCTAGATTTATATAAAAGCACTTCTTTTCATCAATTCGTTTCCCGTCCTCTTCATTATACGTTTCAGCGATACTTCAGTTTTTGACACTCCTCTGCTTTAGCGGGGAAAAAACTACGGTCAGAAACAGAAATAATTCGGGAATATCCAAGAATGGACCCAAGAGGATTACACGGACCAGAAATCAAACCGGCTTTACAGACATAGTTAAAAGGATAGTTAAAAGGAAATGGAACTGGGCAAGCTCTATAACGAGCGTGTCGAAGAAGGACCAAAAGGATAATCGAGTGGGCACCAAAATTAGAAAAGGATTAGAAGGCAGCCGAAATATAAAAGGGATGAGGAAATAAAGCAATTAGTGGAGGTACTGGCTTAGAGTTGCAAAGTAAAGGAAAGAAGCGGATGTCAACAATTTTATAAGTGTAGTGCAATGATTACTATCTCAAACGCTGTTGCCTGTTCGTATAGTTTACAATTAAACCTCATCCTAAGCTGAGTTTGTGAAGTTAACAAATCTTCATTTCAATAGTGTACTAATAAAGGTTTATTATTATTTTTATTACAGACGTATGGTGTTGTATTGTCTGCAGATTTGGTGGCTCTGAGAAGGGCCAGTGTTGTATTGTAGCGTTGAGGTGATAAATCGAGGCCAGGACCGTTGGCTGAGACCGGGGCCCTGAGTCGGTTGAATCTGCAGCGGTTGAAGGGACTCTGGTGCAGGAGGTAGCCGAGTGCAGCAGTTGGCCAGTTGCCAAATCGGCTGTGTTGAGAAGGCAAGATCAACGCTAATGCTTCCGAGTACCTTTGCTGACTTGTCAGTTCTTCATTTGTGCTTGGCGTCAGCTCGTCGAGTAGACGAGTCTCCAGACTCAAGGTGTGCAATGAGATCCCATCGGTGAGACGTGTCTGACAGAGCTGGCGAGAGCTCGTCAGTCGTCGGGTAGCCGAGTCAGAAGTGGGGGAGGCTGCTTGCGAAATTAGCTGCAGAGTCGAAGGCGAGACCACTCCAGAACTGATGATGACACACACACCGCAGGTGTCCACCACGATTAGCTTTTGAATTTAAAAAAATTCCTATCGACCCATCAGTCTCCTTTCTATCCTTGCCAAAATACTAGAAAAACTTTCTTTGGTGATTGATCAGCCTTCTCAGTTTAAATATATTTTTTTCTTTCCAAAAGGTAGATTGGGGCGAAAGCTCGACAAGAAAATAAATGTTGTTTCTGTCTTCCTGGCCTCATCCCCAATCTACCTTTTGGAAAGAAAAAATATAACTAGAAAAACTACTTCTCCGACGATTACTGCCAATAATTGAAAATTCTAATATTATAACAGATCATCAGTTTGGGTTCCGCACATTTCACTCCACAACCCACCAATTGCATCGTGTTGCTGACAGTATATCCTCTTCCCTCCGAACAAAAACACATTGTTTGTGTGTTTTTCTTGGTTTAGAACAGGCCTTCGATCGAGTCTGGCACTCGGGCTTGCTTTGGAAACTGGAGAACATCCTCCCTCATTCGTACTATCTTATACTGAGATCTTATCTGTCGGATCGATTTTGTCGAGTCCGTCAGGGAACTGAATTCTCACCTTATATACGCATTAGGGCGGGTGTTCCTCAGGGAGCATACTTGGCCCTTTTCTATTTTCCATATACACTGCAGATATTCCTACACATGTTAATATTTCGACACACGCATTCGCTGATGATACAGCGATTCTTACACGCAATTCGGACCCCTCAATTAACACTCAACAGTTACAACAACACCTGAATGAATTAACAGTATGGTTCACAAAGTGGAGTATAAAGATAAACCTAAGATGGATCTATTCACTTTTTAAGCAGCCGGAGATAATCCTCACTAAAAATTAGTGTCCCCGTTCTTTTTTTAACGACGATTTACTGGAAAATATTGCAAATGAAACCTTTTTTCAACCAAACGAAACTTTTTTCAAGCAAATGAAACCTTTTTTCAAGCAAATGAAATCTTTTTTCAGGCCATTGAAATCTTTTTTCAAGCAAATGAAATCTTTTTTCAAGCAAATGAAACCTAAAACCTATTGATAATAATTATTTAGAGGAATAAATAAATGACATTATAGAACTAACAATAATTTTTATGATGATGGAGTGGGGTGGAGTTCAATTCTTTTTAAAAAGATGGTTCCTACTCACAGTAAGTTGTTTCGCAACAATCCGGATTTCGAGCCCTTTAGCTCATCATCAGGTTTCTACAAACAAGTCTCTCGACATGAATTGCAAAAGTGAACCCGCTGATACCCCCGCCAACGTGAAAATGCCCTTCAACCTGATGATGAGCTAAAGGCTCGATTTCCGGATTGTTGCGAAAAAACTTACTGTGAGTAGGAACCATCTTTTTAAATTTCTATCACAGAAAGTTGTGGCTCGCTCAAAAACACTTTTCTATCCTACTTAATTCAACTTCGACGGGGTAGATGTAGAAAAGTTTGATGAATACGGATCTTCACAAGAAATGTTCTTGTACCTAAGCCTTACGACTCAATTATTGTAATATTAATATTCAATCATCATAAAAATTATTGTTAGTACTATAATGTCATTTATTTATTCCTCTACATAATTATTATCATTAGGTTTTAGGTTTCATTTGCTTGAAAAAAGGTTTCATTTGCTTGAAAAATGGTTTCATTTGCTTGAAAAAAGGTTTTATTTGCTTGAAAAAAGATTTCATTTGGTTGAAAAAAGGTTTAATTTGCTTGGAAAAAGGTTTCATTTGATTGAAAAAAAGTTTCATTTGGTTGAAAAAAGGTTTCGTTTGCTTGGAAAAAGATTTCATTGGATTGAAAAAAGGTTTCATTGATTGAAAAAAAGTTTCATATGATTGAAAAAAGGTTTCATTTGCTTGGAAAAAGGTTTCATTTGATTGAAAAAAAGGTTCATTTGCTTGGAAAAAGGTTTCATTTGATTGAAAAAAAGGTTTCATTTGATTGAAAAAAGTTTCATTTGGTTGAAAAAAGGTTTCATTTGATTGAAAAAAGTTTCATTTGGTTGAAAAAAGTTTCATTTGATTGAAAAATGGTTTCATTTGACTGAAAAAAGGTTTCATTTGCTAGGAAAAAGGTTTCATTTGATTGAAAAAAAGGTTTCATTTGGTTGAAAAAAGGTTTCATTTGATTGAAAAATGCTACATCGTTGGTAAAGTCGACTGTTTAACTGTTTATTCTAATTCCTTTGCCTCTCTAAATGCTAATTAAAAATGCCATTTCTATCACACTAATTATTAAAGTAAACATAGCAACAAGTGTGATTATTTAATTATGCAAGGTTTGTACGAAAAAAATATTTCGCTAAAAGTCTTGAACTCTCCATTTGAAGCTGATGGATGTGATTTTAACTAAGAACAAACGAAGACTTCGGATTATTACTTTAGTATTATAAATAAGTAATTACTTTAGTATTATAAAGCCCTACCCTACAAGGAAAATGGTGTGAAAGTCATAGCCTTTTTATTTCAAATAGATTAGACTCCTCTCTCAATCAGCACACCTTATACGTAAATTTTCCGCTTCATGAAATTTGATCGCATTTGTGCACCAATCGAGCACACGGAGCACACCATTCCGACGAGCAAGGCGTGCGGCCCGGCAGGATGCTGTGCAGATTGGTTGGCAAACTTGGAGGGTGAGTCGGATCAATAAAAGGGGAGCCGGAGTGTCTCCAAGCAGTCTCTCCACGTAACGGGGCCCTTCGAGGCCAGGACATGTGTTCTCACCACATATCAAGAACAACTTTGGTCTTTTTTCAATTGGGAGTCGCACTATGTACGGCATCAGGTAAGCTACCACAGATGCTTCCCCCCCGTCAACTATCGACCCTCCGTCACAAAGTTAAGCAACACCACAAACAACCGGTCATTAATTATTCATTTGACAGTTATGATTCGAAATTTAAAATCTTTAATCTATAGTTTAATGCTTTGTTTTACAAACGATTTAAAAAGGAATTGCCTTCTGTCTTCAATACATAAATAAATACAGCCTAGCCCTTGACCTTACGATTTGTTTTGGTCTCTTCTTGACCTAGGTATACTCGGAGCGGCATACGAAACAGCGTGAGTTTTTTATCCTGTTATCTTATTCTATTGTAATGTATATACATATATTTTTAATTGAAATGTATTTTATTAAGTTTAAAAGCATTATAAAATTATACATAGTGACACAAGATATTGTGCTCGCTTATTAAGTTTAATAACACCTATAAAAGTACGACGCCTTCAGTTGCAAAAGTCAGTGTGTAGATGTTAGCATTATTTGGTCAGCAGTTTGACCGACTCAGATCATCAAACTGGATTGGAAGTAATTATATAGACGTATTTCTCTTAAAACAATCTTTTTGTTAATGTCCATGGTTTGTTGACCTCATGGACACGTGGATTATCCTAACGCAACATCAGAATCCCACATTCAAAAACGTAAAGTGAAGACTTTAGCATAATTTTGTCAGCAGTTTAACCCGACTCAGATCATCATCACTGATCAGATCATCAAATCGGACTGGAATTGTATAAACTTTCTTCTCTTAAAACAATATTTTTGTTTATGTTTCCAAGAATGGGTTGTTGACCTGATGGACACGTGGATTATCCTAACGCAATATCAAAATCCCATATTGAAAAACGTAGAGTGAAGACTTTAGCATAATTTTGTCAGCAGTTTGACTCGACTCAGATCATCATCACTGATCAGATCATCAAATCGGACTGGAATTATGTAGACTTTCTTCTCTTAAAACAATACTTTTGTTAATGTTTTCAAGAATGGGTTGTTGACCTGATGGAACGAGGATTATCCTAACGCAATATCAAAATTCCATATTGAAAAACGTAAGAGTGAAGACTTTAGCATAATTTTGTCAGCAGTTTGACCCGACTCAGATCATCATCACTGATGAGATCATCAAATTTCTCTTAAAAGAATCCTTTTCTTAATGTCCAAAGCATGGTTTGTTGACCTGATGGACACGTGGATTGTTCTAATGCAATATCAAAATCCCATATTGAAAAACTCAGTGTGAAGATGTTAGCATAATTTTGTCAGCAGTTTGACCCGACTCAGATTATCAAATTCCTCTTAAAAGAATCCTTTTCTTAATGTCCAAAGCATGGTTTGTTGACCTGATGGACACGTGGATTATCTTAACGCAACATCAAAATCCCATATTGAAAAACGGAGAGTGAAAGCTTTAGCATAATTTTGTCAGCAGTTTGACCCGACTCAGATCATCAAATCGGGCTGGAATTATATAGACGTATTTCTCTTAAAACAATCTTTTTTGTTAATGTCCAAAGCATGGTTTGTTGACCTGATGGACACGTGGATTATCCTAACGCAACATCAAAATCCCATATTGAAAAACGTATAGTGAAGAGTTTAGCATAATTTTATCAGCAGTTTGACCCGACTCAGATCATCAAATTCCTCTTAAAACAATCCTTTTCTTAATGTCCAGAGCATGGTTTGTTGACCTGATGAACACGTGGATTGTTCTAACGCAATATCAATATCCCATATTGAAAAAGTCAGTGCGGAGATGTTAGCATAATTTTGTCACCAGTTTGATCCGACTCAGATCAGATCATCAAATTTCTCTTAAAACAATCCTTTTGTATGTCCAAAGCATGGTTAGTTGACCTGATGGACACGTGGATCATTCTAACGCAACATCAAAATCCAATATTGAAAAAGACAGTGCGGAGATGTTAGCATAATTTTGTCAACAGTTTGACCCGACTTTGATCATCATCTCTGATCAGATCATCAAATCGGACTGGAATTATATAGTTTCTTCTCTTAAAACAATATTTTTGTTAATGTTTCCAAGAATGGTTTGTTGACCTGATGGACACGTGGATTATTCTAAAGCAATATCAACTAAGGCTTAGGACCTGAAGGTTTCTCGATAAAATTTGTTAAAACTATGCCTCCCAGTCATACTGCCAACACTACTATCTATAACTAAAAGAAAAAAAGCCCAATGAGATTCCCAACCCAACTTACCCTAATGATTACGGACCCATATCAATCCTGTCTAACCTGTCAAAACCCTTTGAAAAGTTAGTTTAATGTCATCTCACCAAGTATCTAGAAAATTAACATTTTCTTAACCTCCTCCAATCCGGCTTAGCTAAAATTACTTGTGACCTACACACCGCAATGGACCAACCCATTGGGATAATAATCCTCCTCGGGCATTGTCTTAGTGGTCCCTAAGTTAATATTATTTTTCGGCTTATTATCAAGGTTGTATTGTCCATGATTTGAATTTTTTATTTTCAGATTTACTTATATTCATTTTACTCTCCAGTTTTCCACCGAATTTGCTTGAGTTTATATGTTTCCTATTGCATTTGCTAAGGATTGGTGCATTCTAGAATGCCGGTAGGTTCTTTTCCTAGGAAGGTAATCGAAGGAATGGGCTTAAAGAGTAGCCCTGAGGCTCTTATATTAGCTATTGTGGACAACGAATTTCCCAATTTAACGTCCATGGAGGAAAACTTCTTATCCAAGTCATCGGAGCCTTAGACACCGCCGTTTTCTAAAATTGTTTATTATTTTTTGTTTCAGGGCAAAATTACGGCTCGGGTGTGAACAGCTATGCCGAGTTCTTCTGCTTGTCGCCCCAAGATTGCCAAAACTACTTGGGCGCGATTTGCTACAACCAAAGGTGCATGTGTGATATCCACGGCAGAATCTATCCGCCTTGTTACAGTGAGTACTTAAAACACTCTTTAAACCCCTAGATTAAAAGTCAGCTTCTATCTTCCTTTAAAAAAATATGATTGGTAAAAAAAAGAATCTTTGTTGTCAAGTTCCTCATTATGGCGAGGAATGCAAAACGGATGCAGACTGTAATTACAGGGAATTGAACTTCATATGTCTCAAAGAGATGGCCGGCGGTACGAAAAAGATTTGCATGTGCAGAAGGTATTGAAATAGTTCATACACAATCTTTAACAATTGATTTATTTGGAAATGTAATTAACCATCAGAGGGCAGATATGGGATATCGTCTCGAAACGGTGTTACGACCAAGACACCCCCTACATAAGTGAGCATAGTATATATCTGCCTCTTTCAACTTTTCAACGATTGTTTCCTTTTTTCGCAGATGTTGGTGAAAAATTCGATCCGACAAGAGATGTAATCATACCTTCAGTGATTTTGATGACACTCGGAGCAACGGCATGGCTATGTTTCAAACTATTCTGCAACAATTGGTAAGAGTAGTTGTAACTACATATATCTATTAAGTAACATAAACAAACATAACATTAAACATAACATCAAAAAGTTACATTATTTGAACTTTAGCAAGTTTCCCCCCTTGCTTTATTATTATGAATCTGAATAGGCATCTTGGCAAGTCTATGTGAATTTTCGTATTCCATGTTGCTGAGTTAAGCCAGAAACACACTTACCCGATGCTACGCCATGCGACGCTACCCGACGCCTTGCCACGTTTTGGTGGGGTGTGCACATCTATCCTATGCAAGTACACGTCGCGTACAGTCCACAGCGTTTATCACAATAATCACTATCACAATCGCAACGCATCTTTTGTTCTTAATGTTTTATTTTGAGCAAAACCTTGTAATANCTACTATCGCACTAATAAATACATTCACTCAAACAGTAACCAATCATTCTGTATTTACAAATTAAAAAAATGCGGAGCCGCTGGTGCATTTAATATTACAACAGTGCCTTCGCCCATTCACTCTAAAAGATTCATGGCCTAATACTAACCTAAATCGTTGGGTCTGTGGAGTACTCGATATTTCTGCACAACCCACCCATACACTCACTTTCGCGCCAATAAATACGTTCATTCTACCCAAAACACACAAAGAGATATCTATCCTAGTTTGGTGGGTCTGTGGTGTACTCGACAATCCAAGCTAGACGGGAGATCATCCAAGAATAAGGAAAAGATTAAAGGGCTTAGGACACATCCTTGTCTCACACCACAAGATACCTCAAAAAATTCGGAAATACCTCCTGACCCCCTGACCGCACTCTTAGTCAGTGAGAAAATTGCCTTCACGAATAATATCTAAAAATATATATAAAAATCAAATTATATGACCAGAGGGTGGGATTTTTTGCCTGTCATTTATTGAAAACGAAAGTTTTTTAATTTGCTGCAGGAATCATTGGATTTTCCACAGACATGCTTTAGCTATTAAACAAATGATCTTTTAAGAAAGTTTTGGGCGAGTCTGTTCAAATTATTAATTATACCAAGTCGCGGCTGTTGAAGACAAGACTTTTCACAATATTATGCGATGATATGGGAAGCGTTCGTCATTCCCTGACGGGTTCTAGATCTATATGTTGCCGACCATCCTCTGGTTAGTTTGTCTGCTTTTCATTACCTCCTTTGCGTCCTAGCACCCAAAATCTTATCAGTTGTTATGTTTCCTCATTTTGAAACATGCTAATGCTTTTAGGGCTTCTTGGCCGTCTTATCTTATAAATATTTTTTTCTCAGTTCAACCATTTTAAGATTCTCTAAGGCTCAAGCATTGACAGTATATATTTCAGCTTGAAAGACCTTGAGATAGATTGCTCATGTAGGGACACTCGGTTTCTTCACTTGTCTTGGAGCCATCTGTATACCATATAATTGTACTTGACTGCAAACATCATGAGGAATTTTATAATTGTAATTTATGGTATGAACTAACATTGATTTTAAAAAATAATTCGGTTTGAAAAAAAGTTAACTCGATCTCTCGTGGCTATGAGTGTCAACGTGATCATACATGTCTATCGTTAAAATTTTTCTTTACATCGAACCCAGCCATATTGGGTGAAATTTTACAGTCTTCAAGTAACACGTTAGTTTGTTCATTTATTTGAATTAAAAGTTTATCGAATTTAGTGGGAAAAGTTGGAGAAGGCGGAGGAGAGGACACACGGTCCCAAGAGCTATAGGAGACGGGCAGCTCCCGGTTGTCGGGCCGTCGCAGTCCACGACGTGGGTCGCATCTTACAGGGGTGAGTATTTTTTTTTTCTTAGTATAAAATGGGTCTTGCTCACTTCACACTGTGCAACAGATGCGCTATTACCGCTTATCTTGAGCGAAAACATTACTGCTTGGGTGTCTGCCTAGACGTTTGTGGCACCCCGGTTTACTAGGAAAGCTCGAGAAGATTTTTCCAGTTCCTTTTATCTTATCCTTCGATCCTACCAGTCAGACATTGCAGTATGTGTCAGGGAACATCCCTTTCCATTTACACTCCAGTAAAATGGAATCCTCCAAGGAAGCATGGTCCAATCCTATTTACATACAAACTGCTGACATTACTACTGTAGTGGCCACTAGATACTACGACTTATGGAATGTCCTCGCCTTCCACTTTGCAGCCAATAAGAATAGAGCTCTTCCCTATATAAGCAGAGGCACTGCCCTGCTGGAACCAGACTCGTCAGCCCGATGAGATCTCAACCATCACTAATGTAACGGCAGACTCGTCAGCCGACGAGGTCTCATACATCATCCTGTGTAAGCCTGGAAACGGACATAGGAACAGGCAGCCTTGGACCTTTGAAGGCCTCATACATCACTAATAATCGACGACACCAAACTCGTTAGCCCGACGAGCACTACATGGAACACCGTTGGCGACAGCAAGAGTACTCGCAGCATTAGCCTGATCTCGCTTTCTAAACAACCGACTTGGCTATAGACGCCAACTGTTGCCCCTCGGCTATTGCTGCACTCCAGTACCTTCGGCCTCTGTGGAGTCAACCGACTAACGGCCCCCGGACCTCAGCCAACGGTTTACTCTGTCAAACACCACAACCAACGGCGCCACTCGCACGGTCTCGGTGTCATACCATCGTCACGGCATCTCGACTCAACATCGGCATTTTTTCAGGGCCACAACTCCCAGTCACTAAACTACTTTCCCACAGCCATGCCACGTTCGCCGAAATTCCTATCCTCTCTTCTCACTCCAACCTATTCGTTCTAACCTCCTACCTGCAAAGACACCTCACTCTATTAGAAGACTAGTGTCACAAATCAAAGTGAACGAAAGCTTTTTTCGCACTAAGAAAGTCACAGTGCCATAGTACGATATCTGTGACTATACATTGATAAAAATCTGACGTTCAATCGACCCACTTGCTTGAAACGACAAAACATGAACCGCTGTTATAAACTCTTGCTGAGACTACTTGACCAAACGATCCCACCTAAACTTTAACGACTTACCCCTTTTTTTTTGGGGGGGGGGTCTCATTTATCCTAAATGGATCTACAGAGTGGAAGCAATATTCTATTCATTCACAACAAAAACATCAGAATAACACAATAACCTTTCTGGGCAACAAATCCAGTCGTACAAGTTTCCACTCTAACCGTTTAAGGGCGTCAAAACTCGGCACGTAGACCCTGCGGTCATGGTTGTTTTTTTTTTTTTTTTCAAATTGGGGGTTATCGGGAAAAAAGGGCCAGAGACGACGGTGGGAATCGAACCCACGACCGCGGACCCACGACCGCGGCGTGAGAGTCTCTCATGCTAACCACTCGGCTACCGCGGTCCCCAAATAAATGGGCCGCTCCGGGATCCCCTTCGAAAATAAGTTTCTTAGATGGAAGAATACCGGGGGCTCAATTCACTCACGTGTTGCGAGCTACCAAAAATGGAGCCAGGAAGGAGTTGAATAAGCTGTAAATTTCTAAAGTGCTCACGGGTTCCTGGTATCTACCACAATAAAATTAATTAATTACTTTAAAACTAATAAAAACCTACCTGGAAATCCAACAAGTTGTCTGAATAGACAATGACCTAGGGATTTGCTTCAGTGATATGCATGTGTGAGCAGTGTGAAGGTGTTTCACCAGTGGGTGGCATGTCCCATCACGTTTCATTTCATCGTGTTTCATACGATGAATTACCAAGTTTATTTATTCTAACTAAAGCTGCAAGTTTAAATAATAATTTTAAAAATTATATAAAATGCTAACAAAGTTTTGTATCGATCGTTTCAGTTTTTGGCCCGGTGAACGGAGTCGATTCCAGGGCTTTCACTCGTTGCTTACTTCTTCCAGCTGGACCGCCGCCGTACGAAGAGGCCCTTAAGCACAAAGTTGTCCTGAGCAGCTATCAACCACCCCCTACAACTCCTCCTTTGGATCATGCTCAACTGTGATCTATCTACATTTCAGATTGTATAAATTTCTTTGACTTTTTTTAATTTAAGCTTCAACATATCTTAGATGCAGGTTCAAATCTTGATGTTTTTTTGTTCTAATGAAACTGAAAGTTTTTTTTATTTTAAATTTTAGGCTAATATATTTCTGACAAGGTATTTATGAAGTTGGATCGATTTTTAGAACTTTATAAAAGAAGTAATATTTCTTTACATTTATTTTCAAAACTTTAGATTTTCCAGAAAGAATATGAAATACCCAAAAATATATTTTTACTTTTAAAATAGAGTACTTTTTTATTAAAAAAATAAATAAATAAATAAAGGTTTTTCGTGTTATTTAAAGAACTAGTTCAAACTACTCTGAAAGGTCAAATTTAGAAAAGGAAAGACTCAAATGTACAATAAAATATTTTGAGACAATAAGGACCTTTACCAGTATTCGAAATAACATTTAGTGATTGTTTAGCATGTTGATTTCACTATTGAAATGGTAAGGCAAGAGTGAAAGGAAAATAGTACCAACAATTTTCATCGTTAACAAATCTGTGTTTTAAAATGTACGTTTAATGTTTAGCTCAAGGATAATTGTTGTAGGTGTATAAATTTTACTCCCTTACTAAATCCACCGTTCGAGCAATGAAACATACCTTCAGGGTGAATTTAACTCCATTCACCCCTATATTTTTTTATTGTTTTATTTATTGACAATTAATTATCCATTGAAATTATAAATAAATTGATTCTTGGTTGAAGACGTTGGAGAAGATTTAGTTTTTCTCAGAAACAATGTTCAATATTTTTTCTTTTTTCGGTCACAAATTAAAACCCATTTGCTCCGTTGAATTCAGCATCAAACAGCCTTTAAATAAAAGTACATTGATGCATATACTGCTGTTTTTCAAGCTAAAATATATGCCATCAACACTTGGAATATCTTGTCGGATAGCCAAGCAGCTATTAAAATATTAGCATGTAAAACCAAAAGAAAATCAAAATTAGTTAATGAATGCATCCAAAATTTCCAAAACCTGGAGAAACACAACATGAGGGTATCAGGACTCAGAGGAATTTTGGGTAACAAAAAGGCCCTTAACCTATTCTAGAGATGACAAAAACAGAATTTTAAAAAAAAGGGGAAAAAGAAAAGAGGAATATAAACTCTAGCATGACATAGTAAACACTGCTAAGTAAGAAAGGGCTAAACTCAAAGAAGTGATAGGATCTGAGAAAACATGTACACAACGTGGGTATATTCAATGATGACTACATTTGTAGGTTATGCAATAAGGAGAAAGAAACTGCCAAATCATTTTTGGATATGAAGAAACTACTCAATGGAGACATTACCTAGGATAGAAAGAAAACCCACATAAAAAAAAGGAGAAGTGGATAAAATCTAGAGGAGCTAGATACAGTAAGGTTATGTTAAAACAACCAACCCTCATCAAGACTGGCTAATTCACTGCTAGGTTAGAAAGGGCTAAACTCAAAGCAGTGATAGAACCTGAGAAAACATGTACACAACATGGGTATATTCAATGATGACAAGATTTGTAGTTTATGCAACAAGGAGGAAGAAACTGCCAAATCATTTTTGAATGCGAAGCAACCTCTAAATGGAGACATTTACCTAGGATAGAAAGAAAAGCCGCATTACAAAAATAAAAAACGAAAAGTGGGTGAAATCTAGAGGTGCTAGATACAGTAAGGTTATGTTAAAACAACCAACCCTTATCAAGACTGGCAAACTCACTGCTAAGTTACAAAGGGCTAAACTCAAAGCAGTGATAGGATCTGAGAAAACATGTACACAACATGGGTATATTCAATGATGACCAGATTTGTAGGTTATGCAACAAAGAGGAACAAACTGCCAAATCATCTTTGAATGCGAAGCAACCACTCAATGGAGACATAACTTGGAAAAGGAATGGCAGTCACTGACCTAGCACTTTTTAAGAGAAGGATCCAGTTGAATGCACTGAACTAAGTACCAGCAAAGTACAGTAAGCCAGAAAGCTTCAGTGCTTGAGGGACATAAAACCCCGAACTTTGAAATAGTTCGTATCCCATTATCATGGAGAGCAGATCAATCTTTTTCGAAGACAAAAAATAAAAGTTTAAATGTCATGGGGTTTTTTACCACAGAAGTTAAACTCACCCTGTAGATATAGTATACCTGTGAATGTAAATTAGGATTTATTCTCTCCACCCTAGTGGCATTCTGTCCAATATAAAGTAAGAGGAAATGTGTTGTAATGGAGATCAACTGAGATCAAATTTTTGTTCTTTTTTATGGTAGTTTCAAAACTGAACCCATATCAGTCATACAAAGAATCGTATATTATTTACATTTTCTTTCTTTTGTTCAACCAGAAGGTACAAACTAACTAGCTTGTGGGCCCAGAGCTAATAATATTCTTCTTAAAGAAAAATAAAAGTGTTTTTATTCATGTAAGGGCCTGTACTTAACGATGTGATAAATATCTACTGTATTCCCTAATTAAACACATATCAAATAATTTTCATTATATCTATTTGATATTTTGATTTTTTTTCTAGAACCGTTTACGTTCAAAGGGTGTTGAAACTAGAGATGGGGGCTCAGCTCACGATCAAAAGAGTTAATCTTAAATCTCTACCATTCTGATACTAATCCTTAAACGATTTTCGCACTATTTTGAATTTTGTCTTTACCACCACTCAGCGACTTGATAAGTGACTTCACCCTGTAACTACAGCAACTCTCATCGCTCTTCCTTCTCCTGATTCAAGTTTGAACGCTTTGCAATGGTACTTCGTAGCTTTGAAAATTAATCAGGGAACACATGACCCAACACCAATCTGATGCCCATTTTTCGATAGGACGGTATTTCTCCTGTGCACATTTGCCTGATGCCTCTTGCAACATGTTACAACTCAGGTCCCACTGTCTAGATTTTCGTCAAGCAGTGTCGTGTGGTTTGTAATAATTTGAATATATATACTCAAAGACAAAAAACAGTTCACTGAACTATTTTGTTTTTTATTTCAAACTACACCGAAAGTCAAAAAATGTGGTCACCTTTGTTTATTTTTAGTGTATACTTACAATCGTTATAATTTTTATGTTTTGTTGTTCAATATTTGGAGTGGCCACCATGTAATCCTTACTTAAACCCTATCGAACACCTTTGGGATGAATTGGCAAAAAGGATAAACAGTCGCCGAGTGATGGCAAAGAATTTGCAGAACTTAAAAATGGTGCTGTTGGACGAGCACGGAAATATTCAACAGCACTACATTCATAAAATTGATGCCACGTTGAATGTAAGTGGTGATCAATGAAAGAGAAATGAAATATTCCGTACTGAATCGAATATTTTTTTCATTACTTCCACCACTATAATTTAATATTTACAAATATAACATTTACATATACAAATAAATCCAAATAACTATATACACATATTCATATTTACAGATAGGAAAACACTGCTGTGTCCCTTAAGAAATGGAAGGGCCCATGCCTACTCGCTCCCTATGAGGGGCCAAGGCATGGCACTCTTCGATCAGATGTGAGCAACCTTTCTCTAAAGTATCTGTCAATTAATTAAGGTTTTTAGTTGAGATAAAAAAGTCAGTGTCACGAGTGGGATTCGAACCCATGACCTTAGGCTTGATACGCCGCTGCTCTACCACTTGAGCTATCATAACCTCAATCCACTCAGACACCAACTTCCCATCTCAACCCCACCTTTTGACTTTTCCCTCCTTTTTGCCATTTTTCAAATGTCGTATAACCTATTTGATTCTCGGCGACAAACGAAATGGCCACTTGCATGGACTTTCTCTAAAAACGGGACAGTTGTGTGGGCTTTGACCAAAAATGATTTCAGGGTCTCAGAGCGCCATCGCTCAGTCATTCTCTTAACTCACAGAACAATCTGGCCCACTGACGCTGCCAACGTTCTTTAGTTACATCGCAGTAGCTCGGTCTGGACGGTGAGACATTCTCGTCTGTACTTTTTTATTTTTTATTTATTTTACCCTTTCCACCACCCCATTCTCATCTGCATATCCGTTGCCCTCCAGCTATAAGAAATTAAAATTACAATTAATTAAGGTTTTTAGTTGAGATAAAAAAGTCAATGGCACGAGCGGGATTCGAACCCACGATCTTCGGCTAGATACGCCGCTTCCTACCACTTGAGCTATCGTGACCTCGATCCACTCGGACACCAACTTCCCATCTCAACCGCACCTTTTGAATTTTCCCTCCTTTGGAAAAATGGCAAAAAGGAGGGAAAATTCAAAAGGTGCGGTTGAGATGGGAAGTTGGTGTCCGAGTGGATCGAGGTCACGATAGCTCAAGTGGTAGAGCAGCGGCGTATCTAGCCGAAGATCGTGGGTTCGAATCCCGCTCGTGCCATTGACTTTTCTATCTCAACTAAAAACCTTAATTAATTGAAAGATATTAATTGGTCAAGCGTACCACAAAATTAGTGAATTTAAAGAAATTAAAATGTTTTCAGATAACCTCTGCAAGTTAATTTCTTTTTATTTTATGTCTACTAAAAAGATTAACTTTTATTTGTATTATAGTTTATATTTTATGACTTTTGTTTTATTCACTCTTTTTTTCACAAGAAAAACTTAATACAATTATAAGATTGTTAATTGTTATATGGGCAAAATGACAAATTGTTTAACCTTTGCATAATTTTTTTAAAATTGAAATTCATTATCGGCAATGATAAAAAAAATGAGGAGGTGTCGGTCGCTGCAATGGTTTAGGCCTTGCCGGCGCTAATCACTGTAAGGTAAAGGTCCCAGGTTCGAATCCAGCGGCATACTTACAAATGTTTTTTTTTTTTTTTTTCAAAAACACCGGCACCCTAAGAGTTGATATAACCTCTGCTGTTACGAACCCTCATAAAAAAAAGAAAAAAGAGAGAGAGAGAGGGAGAGGGAGAGAGAGAGAAAAAGGTTAAACATTTCATCATTTCTATTACACCGGAATTCAACTAACCTGACCAAGTTAAATTTGGCGAGCGCAAGGGGTGAGCCATGAAAAAGAGCTGATTCATTTCATTGAGCCGATCCTTAAAAGAGCCGTTTTCCCCACCTCTAACAGAAACACAAACATTAGGATTACAGGAATCAAAAGGACTGTGCGATAATTTTCCATTTTAGTGGGAAAAAAAAAGACAATTTAAAATACTAATTTTTATTTGTAGCACTCAATATTGTAAATACAATATTTTTAAATGTAAATAACTAGTTTTAGAGTCAAAAATTATACTAATGTATGTATAGGACCATGTGACGTATTAGTCATAGATCAATTACATCAATTTATTAATGTTTACAATTGTTTATTTAATTAGTGACTTTTTTTCAAAAATTGAGAATAACAAGAATCAATGAATTTATTTCTATACTATTTCTATGATGTAATACCCAAATTTGTTGTTAATACATGTCTATCATTGCCTTTTTTGACAAATTATACTTTTGAGGGAATGCTAATTTTTTTATTATGACCTAATCTCTTATCCGAAAAATATATTACAGCTAAAAACCAACCCAAACCTTAACTAAGGAAAAACCAAAATAGCAAAGATATTTATATTTAATATGGCAAGATATTTAAAAAAAACCAGAACAGTTAGTTCCAAAAACATTTTCATACTGAATTTTTGTATTTTTTTTTATTGACACACATCTGAGTAACTCAACAGAATTGAGAAAATCAGAGATGGACATTTTCATTTCAATAAATAACTTTGCTGTGATTCCTTCGAGGCTTTATATTAACAAAGAGGAACTATTTTTGCCTTAACTCAGGTTAATAATTATATAAAGCTACTGAAGATAGTTTTAACACAAACTAAATCCTAGCTAACATGCAAAATATCTCTGGAACAACAAGGCTTATAAATTAAATTTCTTTTTAACAAGCTTAAAATAATTTATATTTAACATAAAACTACGCGTTGTATGTACAAAAGTTTAAAAACAATTTTTTTAAGCATTTTTTTATATATTAAGTAACATAATCACAACCTGAAATTGCAATCATATACCAACAATCCTATTTTCCTTGAAACAATATAAATGTACATATAAAAAAAATCTATATATAATAAATAAATTTACAAGAAACACTTATATACATTATTCTCTTTTTAAAAATACAACTCTTTTTCATTTTGATTTATGTATTGGGATTTTTTTTTTAAGTACAATTGTATTTTAGACACCTTTTTTTAAAAATAAATTCATACATTTTATTTAGTCGAATATGAAATCAAACAATAAATATTCATGGTTTTGTACGATTTTCGCTTTTTTTTAAACTTTAAAGTACATTCCAACCTGAAATAAAGTCAACACTTTTGTAGTTTTCTCTTGTAAACGCAATATAATAAATACATTATTACATTATTTTTATTTTACGAAACTTCCTTAACAATAGAAATCTGAATTTTTCGAAATATTTAAAAATATCGGGAGAAATTTTCTTTTATTTCGCTAAACTCTTGAGCTTGTTCAACCTTTTTAACACTGATGCAGTTCGCCAAGCGAAAACAATATAAAACTGATAATATCATCGGCCGATCGGTAATGCAAACCTTTCTTACATAAGCATACATCACAGAAAAGCAAAGCTCACACCGGATTAAAATCCCTCGACGAGGTACACACACCGTACGCATCGGTTCGAAGACAAAACACATGAACACATTGATCACCCTAACGCTAATTCGACAATACATCTAAAAAATGTTTTAGGTTCGATGGGAAAAGAAAACACACCGGAACTTATTTTGATCACTTTTTGTAAATTTTTTAATACAATTTTTGTCTTTTTCAGTAATGAAATGGCACATTTTTACACGACAATTTAATTTTAATTTTTAATGAGCTAATATTAATATCATTCTACTCGTACTAATTAAAATAATGTTTGTTTAAAAAATTGTACTGGAGACAAAATTTAGATATCACAATCACCTAATACTTTTTTTTTTTTTTAATTTGATCTAATTTGTTTCGCATATTTTTGCAGTATAATTTTGAAACTAAACTAATATTTCATTAATGCTCATTTATGATGAACGTTTAGTTTATAAAGGATGAAGAAAAGTTGAAAATTACCTTTTTTTTACCATTAAATATGGCAGAAAGATCCTGACAAAATCAAAAAAGGAGAAAAAAAACAGTGAAGACTTTTCAAATTTATAAAGCATTTTCAGACAATAAACCATTAAAACGTATGTTTTGTGGGATTGGTGTAATGACTGAAAGTCTAGGACATTTTTTTAAAAATAAAGTTCATTTTTGTTTGGTAGTATTCTTGGAATAAATAAATTGAACAGGCAATGGTGGGCTTAAAACGGCTTAAATTCTAAATCTTTATTGTTTTCTCTAACTTTTCTAAATTTCCACATCTTTCTATTTTATTATATTGGCATTCCATGTATAATTAGTTTGTAACTGGAATTGCTATTCATTTTACTATGATTAATATTGTGTAATGAAAATACAGTTCTTAACTGTCTTGGAAATTTTTCGACTGAGTTTGGGTCATTTATAATTAATAATTTAAAGATCAAATTATCAATCCTATATTCCATAAAAAATACATAATTTGTATGTTTACCGTTATTTCACCGAATTTAAGATGTATTAGACAGCTGGCGTTTTGAGACTCTTCTTATCAATTTGCGGAAAGACGACGTCCACTTGGTAGCCCTCGTGAATGATTTTGTGGGCGTGAGCGAAGGGTCGCAGATCTCGGACGAGAAGCCGGAGTCGGAGCTGAAGGCGTGCGGCGCGGAGGAGCTGGCGTTGGAAACTACAGTCGGCGCATACCTGACCTCCCCCTCGCAGTCGCTGTCGGACGAGCCGTCGTCGATGTACGACATGTTCACCCTCATCCCTGTCGGCGAAGACAGAGAAAGGTGAGAGAGCCTGAGCGAAAGTTCTGGTGTCGCGGGTGTCGACCTGCTGCTCCCGGCTTCGTCCTCGTCATCGTTCCTTTGAAACGTTTTCAAACGCTTGTCCCCGAGTCCACCGTTGAAACAAGACAAAAGCTTTCCACTCCTCCTGAAAGGAAATTTCACAAAATTCACATGAGTGTTTGAACTAAAAAGGTTAAAAAAAATCCGGGGTGGAAAAAAAACTTACGCGTTATGATAATCTCCAAAAGTGGCCCTTGTGTATGCACAGACAGAGCACTTCCGCCGCCTGCAACTTGCCAGGTGCTTCATACCTTTCTTTAGCTGGCTGTTTAGGGTTGCACTCTGCTTTGCCACCATCTTCAAATCACTTACCTGCCCATAAAATAAATAAATATAAGACAAAAGAAATAAAAAATGCACAATTTTGATGACATCTTAGAGCTTTAAAAAAAAAAAGTAGAAAACAAAAATAAAGAGGAACTACTCATTGATTGTCACTCCTATGCAGGGTGTTACAAGGTTAAAAGTTAATACTGCCATGATGGATTCACTAATAAAACGTAATTTAGTGTCACCAGAACAGTTTCTATCATGACACTTTCCTGAGATATTAACATTTTTGTGATTTTAATCTAAAATCAAATTTTTATTCAACATAAAATGATAATTTCTCAACTCTAGCATCATTAAAATACAAATTTAACCTTTATTTCACAAACTACAATAAATTTTCTGCAAGAAAACATTTCTGTTGCAAAATTCTCGGTGAGGCAAATGATAAAATTAAGGTTTTACTAAAGGATAAGTAAATTAGTGAAGATGATCGAAAAATCAACAGATAATTTTATTAAAAAAGTCGATTAAGCATGCCTGGAAACCGTTCGCGAAATATGATATTGGCTTCTCCCCGATTGGAAAACATCACTAACTGGAGCACTCTAACTAACTTACTCTCTCACTCTCTCTCTCTCTCTCTGTCTGTCACTCTCACTCTCCCTGTCACTCTCACTCTCTCTGTCACTCACTCTCTCGTTCTCTCTCACTCACTCACTCTCTCGTTCTCTCTCACTCACTCACTCTCTCTGTCACTCATTCTCTCGTACTCTCTCACTCACTCACTCTGTCACTCATTCTCTCGTACTCTCTCANTCACTCACTCTCTCTCTCTCTCATTCACTCTCCCTCACTCACTCACTCTCTCTATCTTTCTCTGTTCTTTTTTTAAATGCATATAGAATTTTCATTGTTATTTTTGTTGTACATGGTAACCTACAACAGATGCTGGTGGGAGAGTACTGTTTTAGCAGATGGGAACCATGGTTATTCTCCAAAGAGTGAAAGTGACTTGTTTACATTTTTGTATGTTTGTCATCTTTCACCGCATGAACCATTGCTCAAAAGATGTGACAAGGGTGTGCAAGTTTCTGGTTGATGGTGTATCAACTGCTTAGGGTTGGTTTCAGGTAGAGTATGCAGTACCGCGTAGAGGATGGGTCTAAGATACTTCCTTGTGATACCACTGCATCTGGACATTAGCCGGCTGATAACTTGAAAGTATCTGCCCGATAGGCTAGATTTTAGCATCATTGGACTCCTTTAAGCTTGCAGAGAAGCCCCGATCGAAGGCTTGCTTCTCGTCTAGTAATACACCGTAGCAGTACTCCTTTTGTTCAAGATCAGAAGCGATGATTAAATGAAAAGTTAGATCGCGATTATACCACGGGATTGGTGGCAAATCGAGAAAAAGGACTTTTTTAATGGAAATTAAACTCAAAAGCAATCTTAAAATAAACAAGGCAAAGAGATAAAGTTGTTTGATAACATGAAATAGTCTTTTTTTTCTTTTTCAAATAGAAATTTCAAATATTGTTAAACAAACATCACCTCTTTTTCGAGGCCGGCCATGTTTCTTAAATATCTTCTTCCGCTTCCTTTGATTTCAACATCTCTCAAAGCATCTTTAAGTCTGGCATTCTAAAAAAAATCATTTAACAAAATTATACACAGAAATGTTTAAAAAAAATATATTGAATAAATAATCGATCTTTACCTCTCTTTCCAAACAGTCTTTTTCAGCGACGATGGCCGTTACTTGTTTAACTACGTCGTTCCTGGCTCTCTCCAACCTTCTTCTTGTCGCTTCCGACTCGTCAGCTTGAAGTCTGAGCTGTGATGGTACAATTACAGAGGAAAATTTAAAAAACGTCCTTTAACGTGGGAAAGCAGGACAAAAAAATCACCCTACTTACCTGTCTGTAAGCTTCGTTCTTTTCCCTTTCAAGCCGGTCCTTCCATTCAGCGATTTTGTCCTTCTCGGCTTTCAACTGTAACAAAAGAATATTCCGGTCAGAACGGTAAATAAGACATACGAACATCCGGGCCGGGTGCGGCTGGGTTGTCGGGGGTGCCGAGCACATCCCGGACCGAAATCCTAGGCGGGATCACAGATCGTTGTCGGATTAAAAATGAAACCGTTTATGGATGGATCACGATAAATTTAAACGATAATATCTTAATATATTAATATAATCTCTCTCTAAGGCTAAACGGCCCATGTCCAGGCTGGAATTCTACAGTAGGAACCGAGCCGATGAACCGTCCAGTTAATTATCGAGTCTACCCACAGGAATCTTTCGAGAAAGAGTGGCAACCTATTTTTTCCAATGCCTTACATTAAGTTCTAATAACAAGAATTAAGCTTAAAATTTAAATTCTTTTGGGTTTCCTTGATGTATCGTTCGCAATTGACAATCTGCAAATGGGATTTGTACTTGTGACAAGATTTGACAGAACTGAAAGTTTTACCGGTTCGTAAACACACGTCGATTCAAGTTTGGCCCGTGTGACTCAGGAAGTCACTAGCTTTAAAAACTTGTTTTGTATACTTTGGATTTGGAAATACGGAGACAGAGTAAGGGAGAAAATGAGAGAGATGGCGGGATTGAAAATAGAGATGAGCGCAAAATAAGAAGAAAACTATAAGTCGACAGATAAACAGTTTTGTAAATGTGAGGTGATTAGTGACTGTTAATCGATAATTGTTCAGAAATCGTGAGATGCGGTCTGGTGTGATGTAGGTTTCAGAAAAACATTTTATTTATCGTGCCAACGTTTCGATCTTTATTGAGATCATCTTCAGGGCTCAAAGTGTTTCTCTTCTGTGAAATTGTGCCAGTCTTGCGTGTCGTGTCGAGAGTGCCCACGACATGCAAGAATGGCACAATTACACAGAAGACAAACACTTTGAGCCCTGAAGATGATCTCAATAAAGATCGAAACGTTGGCACGACAAAGAAAATGTTTTTCTGAAACCTACATCACACCAGACCGCATCTCACGATTTCTAAATAAATATCGATTCAAGGTCACTAATCACCACACAGTCATTCTACCATTTATCTTTTCTACATCAATGGTTTTACTACAGCATTATAAACCAGACGATTGTTACTGGTGGACATACCTGATTCTATCGAGGGATGAGGAAAGATAATCCTGTCAATTAGATTAGAGCCAAAATTTAGTGTTTTTTTATCCATTATTACTTCTAGGTATAATTTCAGACAAAGGGTTACATCGTTTGATACTGATTGTACGTTTTATTTGAACCGTATCTTTGAGACATCTGTACTTTCCGTCTGGGTCTGAAGCAACTTACTTTTTCAATTAATTAAGGTTTTTAGTTGAGATAAAAAAGTCAGCGTCAAGAGCGGGATTCAAACCCACGATCTTAGGCTAGGCCGCTGCTCTACCACTTGAGCTATCGTGACCTTTTATCTCAACTAAAAACCTTAATTAATTGAAAGATATTAATTGGTCAAGCGGACCACGAAAACAAATGAAATTACTTTTTTAATTTACTCGTTAAGCCTTTCCTGAGAAAGTAAATAATGCAATGTCGTCAGCGTATAGACTCAATAGGTTTTACTTTTAGCGTAGCGTTAAAAATGAACGTGAGACGAGGCTCAAGATGAACCCTTGCGGCACAACACATTAGTCGTTAAATGTAGGGTACCTCAGGCCCAGTTCAACTTCAAAATTTCAAATACGACCCAATACATCCTGACATCATTTTAAAGGAATTTTTTACGCTGAAAACAGTGGTTCAATCGGATTTTAAATTGGTCAAAAAATAACAAAGTTATGGAAAAAAGTTTGAAAAAGCGCGTTTCGTGTGTTTCGTTGATAATACATTTGAGCAAGGAACGTTGGATGTCATAATCAGAGTCCTGAAGTCCCTGGACAACATGACAGCGATCCGGCTTAAAATTGTAAGTCCGGAATAAATCTCTAATTTTATTTTTTGAAAAACCTGAAACCATTCCAACATTTCGGAGAGAGGAATTAAGATTTTCGCGACGCATACAGTTGCACTATTGCTTTCGGCGTAAAAAAATTCTTCGCATATGAAATTTTGAAGTTGCACTGGGCCTAAGGCACCGCGTATAATTTTTCTCCAAAAAAAAGGTAAACAAGTGAAACTAGTATAAAAAATATTAAACATGTATTTTTTTTTTTTTTTTGATAACATCATTGGTTCTAGAGAAATTCTACCGGGACATATAAAAAGGACACCCTGTATATTGTGGGTGCATGAAAAATAAGAGCCAGGGGCGACGGTGGGAATCGAACCCATGGCCGCGGTGTCAACGAGACGAGAGTCGATCCACTCGGCTACCAACTTCTTCGAAAACTTTTCAGCTGTCTAGAATTTTATAAATTACGCCTCGATAAATAAATCTGAATCGGAAAAATAAAAAAAAAACTTTTGAAGAATTTTCGTTGATTTCATTCTTATTTTCTTTTTCATTTATAACGGCATAAACATTGTTCATGGCTGAAAGAATAGACAATTCGCTTTCCAACGGTTGTAATAACTTTTTTTAATTAATTGGACTTTTTATCCAAGGTCTAGGTTAACATGAAAAAGCTATTGTCAGGAGCGGGATTCGAACCCACGACTTAATACGCCTGCTCTAACCACTCGAGCCGAAAGTCGTTGGTTCGAATCCCACCCCTGACACTAGCTTTTTCATCTCGACCGAGTTCTTAGATAAAATGTACAGTCAATTAAAATAATTAATGTGGTCAATTACGACTACTATACATGTACGGATTGTAACATTGAATTTGACTAAACTCCAGAGGTATTAGTGGAAGACCAAACATCGGAGAGAATAAATTTTCCCTCAGATGATAAATCCAATAAAAAATCTCAATTTTCTTACTTTTATGAAAATTCGCATTTAAGGGTTTTGATTGGCATACTTTTCTGAAAGTCTTTTGTTTTTCGTAATTTTTATCTGTTCAAATTTAAAACAATCCTGTATAAAATTTTCTTATTCTAGATTTTTTAAATATTTTTATTGACTGAGATATAATACCTTGAAATACATGCACAACGAAGAAAGAAAAACCTATTTCAAAAAATTACTAAAATTGTTTTTTGACGCTGAGCTTTCTAATATTTTTCGATCTAGTATTGCCAAAAAAAAGTTCCAATAAAACCGGTCATCCCACGTCCTTTGAAAGCGAAATATATATTTTTTGGAACAGGTAACAATCGAGGCAGATAACAGCCGTCGAGGAGGTGATATGAAAGTTTTTTGAATTTTAAATTTTTCGTTAAGTGCCAAACGGTTTGATTAAAAAAACAAACCCGATAAAGAAAGTCGAGGGAGGAAGTGGAAGGACTGCTTCATCGCGGCTCCTGGGAAAAACTTCTAAATTAAACAAACATATTACAACATTTCTAATTATTTTATATTCGAAATAAATCAATTAAACAACCGATAATCATTGTGTACAAACAATAAACTTTAAAAAATAACATATTCATGGGTTAATTAATTAAAGAACTGAATTAATCAATTAGAAAGTTTTTTCTTAATAAATAAAAGCTTAATGAGTAATGTACCATGTCTTTCCCATTTTAAAGGATTGTTAATTCTGAAAATAAACAGACTATTACCGGTGAAAATATTAGTCAATTTCTGTTACCTGCCTGCATAAACATCATTAAAAAATTGCAAGAAACAAGAGTTTATCTTTATGATATTTTATTGTTTTATCGGCTGGAGTCTAGAGAGAGTAGAAAAAATCAAATTGAACTTTCCTTTTGAAAATGATTTTTCTAATTTTACTTTAAAACAAATCAGAAACGGAACTGAAATTTACCCTCGCCTTTCCGCACGTCAAAGTAAATATTTTCCCCAACTGCGTTTATATTGACTTGATTGACTTGTTTTAAGTCGGATAAGTCTTATTATGCAAATCATTTTAAAGTGGGCTGAACTTTTGACTCCTCGTGCGTGAAAAATTCTCCCGGATGAAGAAGTTTCATATCCCACACAGGAGCTGCTGACTTTCATCCCGTCGTCGGGTAATCGTATCGAGAAAGGGAAATTATGCTTAATGAACTTGGAAACCCCCTTTGAAAGAGGAATTCATTTTTTTCCTCTCCTCGAGCTCAGGGGATAAAGTTAAATGAGCAAGGAATTAAAGTTTTATAACGGCTATTTAACTTTCTAAGTTTCTAAAACATCACCATTTTTCAAAATTCGAAATACGTCATACAACTCTTTCCCCACATGGAATAATATGTTGGAAATTTTTAAATATTCCATTAAAAAAATCGCATGTAGAAACAGAGTCAAGAAACTCTGATGAAGAAAGAAAAATTATGCTAATAGTCGATTTCAAGTTAGTATGCAAATGAGAACTTAATTACTCAATTATAGTGTGACGCCTCCGCTAGGATTTTATTATAAAAAAACTTCAGGGCGAAGTCCCAGCGCAAGTACTTCTCTTAAGCCGTGCGTTTATTACCTACCCTAATCGTAAGTTCTGCCACAATTTTTGCACCCTGATGCAGACTGCAATATTATTTATCTGTTTTTATTTTTAATTTTTTTTTTATGCATTGTTAAAATGGTTTTTAAAGAAGTACATTAGATATTCTAACATGATTCAGATCAAGTTGCAACCCAGGGCCTTGTTAAGAATGAACCTTCCTAAATTTATCAACTGAAGAAGGACTTCTGCTAGCCTAGATCTTAATTTTTTGGACTAAAAAATTGTGGTCAATGTTGGAGAGCATGGCCTGCAGGAAAAAAAACAATCAACAATCTAACTGATAATAAAAGCAATTCCCACAAAAAGCAGCAAGGAGTGGCTCAGCAGTCATCAATACTCTGTTCGATCCAAAGGGGGTCATTTCCAAAAATTATTTTTTCCAGTATTGACGATCTACATTAATAATTTATGTGTTTGGGATCTGGTTTCTGGTCAGGTAGAGAAAGAAGTAGACTCTGTGATCATCAAG